TATAAGTGTAAGCATGGGAAAGGTTGCAGACAAAAACAGTGAGCTAAGCAAAACAGAACACTGAGTTAATAGAAGGAAAGTTACTGTTCAGCAGTTGAAGCTTCAAGCGTAGGAAGCAAATACTTGTGGTTTACAACTGCTGATTGACAGGCAGAAGGCTTTGCCTTCGCGGAAAGAACACCCAACCTAGCTGGTTCTTTATTTATCTTTTAATAGGAGTTAATGCACCCGCCGGACGCTATTCAGGCTGACAGGAGCATTCGACGAAAAGCGGAATATTTTAACCGGTTCGACTACGTCGTCGTGTCTATAATGTGCTCGAGTTTGACCGCCAGATTTGTCAAGTGTTTCCTTGCCGGTGTTTAAATGGCAATTTAAGACCCAACTTTGGTATGCGGGCTAGTTTCAACAAGCAGTAGTACTTCAATTTAACTTCAAACGTTATCGAATAACGTTGGCCTTAGGGCCTCAAAAGAGCTGGAAGAACTCAATATATCCAACTGAATCCGTAAATCCTCCGTAATGCGTATCGAAAACATGTTTGAATTAATGAAACTGAGGCATAGAATGCGAATTTCCCAAGCTTCCGAAATTTTCCAACCGCACTTGCCACGTAGCTGAATGCCTTCGAGATAGAAAAGAAGGGAGAGAAACGGTTATTAGCCAGCTTTGCAACCGCAACGGGCGGCAACCAAATAGAAAAGGTTCAAGTCAGCTCAACACCCTGCAGGTTGCGAGTGCGGACGCAAAGGGGAAGAAAATCACGTAAATACTGACGTAGAATTTCGTGTGAGGTAAAGAAAATTGAACCATAGACGAAGATGGTTTGATGGACAACATCCAGGGGCGGGCAAAGACAATTTGAGCAGGCAGTTAAAGCAGGCGCAAATTGGAACACTCGATTTTCCGTTTCATTTCCAGCGCACAGGAAAACGGGTAGTGCCTTTGATGGACCTTTTAAGATATAGGACCGGGCTCGACCTAACTGTTTACGGCCATAAAAGTCAAGCTGGCGCGTGGTTACACCGAAACAGCTGTTTTTAAAGGGCTGACCAGAACGAGTCTATGTGCGTTTGAAAAAAAAGTGGTCTTGCCGGAGAGTTCAAACGTACGATCCTATTGACAGT